TATTACTCATTCTCTGTGAACTCCCTACAGGCTTGAAGTTCATTGTATTAACAGACCCAAAACAACTTGGAATGGATATTTTCCTCAAAAAAATTTATGAGCTGTATTCAGACTTTGCCCTGAAGAACCCATTCTACTCACTGGACATGCCAATAAGGTACAATTGCCAGTAAAGAATGGACAGTGTTGCACCATAACTTAGCATAAGGGCCAAAAAATTATATTTTTTATTAGCCTTTTTCCAGGAAAAGTATCATCTTACTCTTGTCACACATTCTGAAGTTTTCTTTTCTTATTAAACAAGATCTCTTTGTAAGTATGAAGCGTGTAAAATATTCAATTGCCTTCCCCTCGAAATTAAGTATCTACAAAACTCAATTTTTTAAAAAAACTGTGATTAGGGTAACCTAGAGGCTTACGTATTACTGTCTCTCTTCTTGCAGGTGTGAACTATTTGATACCAACCTACAGAAAGCCTTAGAACAAGCTGAGAAATCAAATCTTTATTCAAGTAATCCTTCCTTAGCTTAAACAACACCCCACCAAGAAAGGGATGGAGTGTATGAAATTGTCGAACTAATGAGACAACAAATGCTTCTTTCAAATTGAAAGAAATGGATTCAATACAATTACATGAACTGAAATGCCACATCACTCATTGAGTATTGAAGGAGAGAACATAAAGTATTTGTCAGAAATAATTGTTGTTTGAGAACCTTAGAGTATAATAGACAAAAATGTGTGAAGAGTTTAAAAGCTACATAGTTTTTACATATTTACTTCAACTGATTATGACTGTGAGCTGGAAACTGGAGTTGATTTCTTCAGATTAAGTAATTTTACTGGAACATTCAAGGGGTTTAGAGAAGACAGTGGTGTCTTTGGTTTGCCAGAACTACTTGCACCTGGATCAGAGGTGCTGCATGCTGCTTCAGCTTGACCTGAAGGAACTTGTGTCTGCTCTGAAGATAAGGCAGTATCCTGACTCTGCATCACTTCTTTGTACTTGTTAGTGATAAAGTTTACTTGGCTACTAATGTCATGACCTGCAAGACGTTGATCAAGGTCTGCCATCAAGTCCAAGATAACTCGAGCACCTGCAGTGAAAAAAGAAGGAAAAGACTCATTATATTGATTAGAGTTTTACATTTGGGGTCAAGAATGTAAACATTAACGAGTCTTTGTTCAGAATCCTGTGTGTGATGGTGAATGAAAAAGTTGTTCATATGAGAATGTTATTGAGAGCTACAAGGTTATGTAGACAAATAAAAATAAAATCAACAATTTAAAGTAAATGAGTTGAACACAAAAGCTATGGATTTAGAAACATCTCAAGCACTTCTTAGTATGCAGCAAATAATTCTTTCAATTCTGGGACAAACGTTGAGCTCAAAGTATGTAAGTGTTGTTGTTGCTCAAAAAATGAGGATAAAGTGCAAGATAGAAAAGTGCTAACTTCCTCTAAAAATGAAAACCCAGAGCAAGTCTTTAGTTCTAAGAGTGGGGTACTTAAAAATAAGCCTGAAACGCCGTGAAATTATAGGGGGTATTTACAGCACAATAGCCTGTCAGTCCATAACACATAATTCCTCAACAATTTGTCAGGAGTGTCCTTGGCATTTTCTCATTAACAGCCCTAGATGAAGTAGAAAACTGAATGAATAAAAAACCTTATTAAAGAACACAACCCGAGGAGCTAGCTCTATGTATAAGATTTCTCCATGATAGACTTTTCTAAGGTTGGGGATGTACCGGTATTCCTTAGATATGGCCTAAAATTATATTTATTCAGAACATTACTTACTAAGAGGGGTGAGGTCAGGAGGTGGCTGACCTCGCATCACTCTACTTAGCAAGGTATATATCTGACTGTAATCTGGTGATGAAGCCTCCCCTGTGCATCAAATCATGCAACATGTTTTTAATAATGAAATTGTGGCCACTCTAAGATCAGGTGGCACATCCTTGGCGCACACCCTGCCTTCCATAGCATATAGTGACAAGGAGTATGTCTATTGCCCCTGGATGGGGTGCTAGTTCATTACAGCCTATCCCTACCCCCTCCCCAGAATTTAATCCAGTTTCACAGATAGTCTTGGTAAATACATTTCATGCACACCAAAATGAGAAAATTAATGCCTGAGCTTAAGAGAAACATTTATTTACTTGTCACTCAACAAATGATTTACAATAGTTAGACTCTATTTGGTTAATTTGAAAATTAATTTAAAAGTGCTTTGTCTCAAGGCTGAGCCAAAAACTTCTGGAGGAAGGTTTGAAAAAGAACTCGAGATTTCTCATTCACAATTTTCATTTCCTAGTTCAGGATGCAATGTCTTTGAAATCTCTTATGCATAATTTCTTTAACTCTGGCTAGATACATTAACCCTTTAACTCCCAGATAAAATTTTGTAATTCTCCTTACTGTCAACCATACAGTTCTTTCAATGTTAGTTCAGAGAATTTAGTATGGGATCAACTAATTATCCCCCAATTGATATTTTTCTTTATTCCCATCACTTATCTAGTTGACATTGTGTTGATATTGTAACGAGAAAAACTCTCTTGGTCACTCATGGGAGTTAAAGGGTTAAAGACATTTCAAAATGTTTTCTTACCATCTCCAGGTTGCACTGGCTCCATGGCTGCAATTGTCATAATCTGTATGGATGTAAAAAAGGATATCAGGCATTTTAAGCATAACTTAATTTTCTTCAGAAGGTATGCAGCAACAGAGCAAGTTTCAATTGAGAGTCAAAAGGAATATATATTCTATCTGTTAACCTTAAGAAAAATCTTGACCAATCTGAGGGGTAGCTGAAACCCATTACAACTTGCTTAGTCACCTATATTTTTACACACATCAGCATCTTGCTGATTCCTTGCAATGTCTTATTTCATTCTGATCAGCCATGATAAGTACAATTTGTGCCCAGTTTGATGACACTTAATTAAAACCTACATCAACCCTTTTCTGCTTATTTCCTTTAGTATGCAGTACTTCCTACAGTTAAGTACCATAAAAATTGTTCAAAAATTTAGTCCTTTTAAGCTGATCATATGGAAAGGGGGGGGGCTCTTGTCTAGGGGTAGCTGAATTGTGATGTGCTTTATCAGGTAAATAATTTTTTTCCTAATTTTGTTCAAAGTTTTGGGGGGATAGGGTTTAGGTCTCCAATTTTCCTTTGGAAACTACCTAGTTATTAAAAATCTTATTGGAAGAGTGGGGTGCCCCTGTGCTTCCCCCACACATTCCTTCCTTGGTTTTGGTAAGTTAAGTTAACTAATTGTAAGGAAGTACATAATCAAAAACTTTTCAGCAGCATTCAGTGCATGAATTTCAGACAGCTATTACCAACTTCACAAATTAAACTGGTCTTTTTATTGCATCAGTGTGTGCAAAAACAAATGTTTCTTAAGACCTGTACATCTATTAAAAGTGCATTTAAGTAACATGTACTTTATTCAGAAGCTTTTTCCAGTTCTAGTTTTTATAGTTGCAGGAGATTATTCCGAGTTTCTATCATAAAAGGAACTGGAACAAGAAACTGGTCGTCACAGGGACTAAATGTTTCTCCCTTTATAATCAATTCAAACAAACACAAACTCAAAACTGTACTTGCCTTTCCAGTGAAAAACAAACAAAAAAAACCCAATCCTTTTTTAAACAATGAAATTGAAAAAATGACACCTCACTTTCTCTCATTCTGTTGAATCCTCTCACCTTATTATGTGAAAAATGAATGTGCATAGAGTAGGCTATAGCTATTCAATGAATACTTATTATTGCTTCAAAACAGGCAAAAATTATAACATTAAAAGCTGGCTTTGTTGTTATTACAAGATTTACTTCCTTATTTAAAAAAAAATTAACTTGTGCAGCAGTCATCTGAAATTATAATTCTTTTAAAGAGAGGCTACAAATAACTTAAATGAGCCCTGGGGGCCCCTGAAAGTCAAAAGTATAAGCCACCTAAAACTATTCTGATTTGCCTTTCCAGTGAAAAAAGAGAAAAAAACCAAACACCTTCATTTGACATTAAATTGACAAAATCATCCCTCACATTCTCTCATTCTGATGAATCCTCTCATCTCGTCATTTTGTAGTAAGCTAAAACTGTTCAAAAGATACTACCTTAATATTAATTCAATACAGAAAAAAGAATGACACTGAAAGTTAGCTTTGTTTCAATTTAAGATTTACTTCCTTACTTATAAAGGAAATTTAACTTATGCCACATTCATCTGAAATTATAATTATTTTGAAGTGGGTCAACAAATAACTTAGAATTAGCTTTAGGTCCCCTCCTATATTGGACACTGCTCAACTTAACACAGATTAATATATAATTTCTTAAGAGCTAAGCTATTAAAATTATTGTCCATAACAATGGTGACACTATGGGTACAACTAAAGACTCAAAAAAAAAAAAAATTAAATAAAGCCTCTTTTTAAGACTCTATGACTTTAAAATTGTGATATGAAATTATTTTCTCTTGAAAGTAAGCATCATAAACTTCTACGCCTTCATTTCATAATTAAAAAGTAAATAATTTTTGTATCTGCTGTTTGATGCACATCTCACACTTCAACCCTCTAAAAACATTCACAATACCAAGAAAATTAGTTTGCTTTCATTTTTTTTTTAAATTAGCAAGTACACAGGCTCACCAACAACCTGCCATGCAAACCAGATATCATTCATTGCTCACATCTATGCTATTTCTGCTACCACACTGCCATTTTTGACAACACACTCAAACTTCCCTACCACTAAGCAGATTGCCTTGTTTGACCAGCTAGGAAATTTTCCATGTCCCTAAAAAATACTCACAGAATACCACCTAATTTATTTCAAACAAAAACTCAAATGAAATTTATGAAGTGTAAGTTACGAACAAAGTGCTATTAGATATGAATAAATATCACTAAGTAATGATCATTTTCATAGGATAGTAGAATGAAATTTTCTTTGAAAGTTGAGAAACTGCATGTATTGGTAGCTTCTTAAGGGAAAACAGTTCTACAAGTTGCCATTCCTTTGTCTACTGTGGTTTGTCATCTGTAACATGGCTAGGATGAATTGTCCACTGATGTTCGCCTTGTGCCATCTGCACCTTGGATCTGTTGTACCGAAGGGTTTTACACCTTGTGGCTATACTTGTGACACACTTCCGCCAAACTACTGCTTGCTGTTCTTTGTTTAGGTCTTTTAAAAACCTGTCGATCACCTCAGCTAATGCATGAAAAAATTAAAAACCATCAAAAAATAATTAGTATCTTTAAACACAGACTCATACCTGGTCTCAGGGACATCAAAACAGGAGTGATGAAGTAACAACTGGTGTAAGATTTAAATCCAATTGGTTGAGAGGGTGTCATAAACTTTCCAGCCTTATTGTCAAGGATCACCGACATGTACAATTTTTGAGAGAATCAAGCAGCCCCATACAATAATCTTTTGGGAACTTGGAAACTATTCAAGAATGCTCAATTAATATCCTGTTGTAGCATTAAGAAGTGAACATCATTAACCTACTTTGAATGGCATCAATGACTGCTGGATCTAACTGTAAAGTGCCAGGTTTGGCTCCTGTCACTGTTGATGCCCTAAGAACCTCATCTCCAAAAGTCAACTCTGCCAGACGGACAGCAAAGTGTGTTGGCTGCCCTGATCTTGTGAGTGAATCAAGATACTTCTGACGTGGCAGAGCCACATTTGGGTTTCCTCCAACCAGCACATAGGAGTCTATTTGACATGTAAATCAATAAACAAAAGACAAGTTAACCCATTAACCCATAAGAGTGATTAACATCTAATTTCTCCCAACAGAATCACCCTGAATCAAACATGAAGGTTATATAAATAATATAGTATAAGGAAATAATCAACAACTAAAGAAGCCCTTGATTGTTATACAAATTCTCTTTGTCTGCACTTTAAGAAATGTATAAAGGACAGTATGGAGAATATGCATAGTGATGTTAGAGTGTGAAAGGTTAAGTATTGAAGACTCAGAAATGTTATCCATTATTATCAATACTACCACTGCAACTGCCACCCCTACGACAACCATAATCATCCCATCACAGTTATTATCATCATCCTTTTAAATCACAATTACAATACCCAACACCATAGCAACAGTACTGACCATTCAAGATTTTTAAAATTAAGTTACCATAAAATTCAGTGTTTGTTAAAAATTACCACATGTGAAATATGTACGAGTCTCAGAACCAAGCTCAATTAAAATATTGATTCTTCCCAAGTGTCAACCTCCCCTATCTAGAAGTAACTCCTGAAATTTCTGTTACACACCTTATCCCTAAACTGCAGCATCAATTATACTGTAGAGTTAAATAATTGGTATTACAATTGCAGGTTATGGTAGGATTTTATCAACTAAAATCTTTGTTTCATGTGTTTTTATGCACATGGCATGCAATGTTGTTCATTCATCTGCTACACATATGACCTCCTTTGTCAATAAGCCACCCTTCAATCCAGGTAAGCAGTCTACTAAACAGAATCCCTAACAAGGACATTATAAAATCTCAAATGCCTTGTTATTGAGTTGCAATAGCTGTATGATAATTACTGTAGGAATATTAGTTTATTTCAGTAACAGCACTGCTCAGATGTTTGTTAATTGCAAATCATGTCACCCAAACAAACACAGTCAATACATAAGACTTTTCATTCCTTGGGGTGTGGTAAACTGGTTAACCAGAATGAAAATTTTCACAAAATAATGCTGGTGGCAGTTCATTGTGGTTATACTCATTACGTAAAAAAGGAATTTGCCTGACCTTTTGCTGTTGGTATTTTGACTTTTTAATAAGACTAATATTGAGTAAGGGATGCCCTCATAAAAAATTCATCAATTTCTAAGTGACAAGTCCAAACAACAATGATGAAGTACCATAGTATGTCACCAACAGCAGGTGACATACACAAACTACCCTTAACAACTCAATCAGTTGCTCTTTTCATAAGAAACAAACCAGAGTAGCAGGTGAATGCTAGCATCTAGTTTTAAAGAAAAAGGTTGATGCTACCATATGGCAATGAATTAAAGAAGTAACCATCTACCAGAAAGACAAAAAGATGCATAAATGAATTAAGGAAGAAAGTTTCTACAGAAACTTAGGTTCTGCGTCAGTAGGGGTAATACAAGAAAATTTGGCATTTCATCTGCATTGACAAAGTAAATTGGCCACTGTAAAGAACTTTGAAAGATGTTTCCAGCATTAGCCATTTGTCAGAGTAACAAACAGATAGAGTGTAAAAAAGGTGCAACCACAAGTTTGCCTCAGTTATGAGGCAAACTTGTATCAAATTTTACTAAGGAAATATGGCAAGAAAATAACCTCACAAAATGATGATAACTTTAATTTTTATTAAGATTTAGTGAAAATTACTTTTACAGACAAACAAACTGTATAAAATGCTTAAGAATAAAACTTTGACCTAACAAAATTCCTAGGCTCACTTCTAGATTGCATTGGGAACTAAATGATAATATAGCTTAAATTAAACAATCAAACTTAAAAAAATGCTCAAGAAGAAAGCTTTGACCCAACAGAAGTCCTGGGCTTTCTATTACGTAGATATGCGTCAATTGCTCTTCGACAATCACGCCACAACAGTTCTTGCTGTGCAAGAGAGGATGGAAAAAACCTAAATACAATTCCTTTGATTTTACTGATTTTTTCAGGATTTAAGGCAAGCTTTCCTCCAACTCCTCTAACATTTCGGCCATCAAGTTCATGTGGCTTAAAGAAATGACGCAGCAATTGCACTGCAAAGTTTTGCTCTGATGCTGACCGTGAGTGAAGTAAAAGGAGTGTAGCATCATCATCTTTTGCTAATTCCTGAGGTGCTGGTTGAGTAGATGGCTGTTGCAAATGCACATGGGGCTTTTCTGGTGTGGCGTTTGCCTCACCTGGTGTCTCCATGGCCTGGTCTTGCTGTATGAAAAGACGGGCATTTCCAGAATCCTCCAGGTAAATATACTTTACTTTTATTTGACTCAATTTA